CAAAACTACATGTATATTAGGCTTGGAACATTTTTTGGCCTCTGTATTTTCCAAACACTTTGTGTGCATAACCGTTCAAAAGGGCACCATAAACCTGGATTCCTCTCAAATGGTTAGGAATGCTATAATACTATAATATTCCTCCGCTATGAACTTTTGAAAATAAGACTGGTCGAACCGCAAAGTCTTCAGGTGATGGCCATGCCCCTATGGTTACTCCTCAATTATGATATCTAACTGACTTTGAAGCTCTGCTGGACTGCATCTGCACCATAACCATACAGCTTGAACCTAACTTGTTAGGATTGCGCTTGACTCAAACTTGGAATATTTAGCACGACAAGTCAAGCCTTGGGAGTTTTTCTTGCTCACATCCAAATGATTCCAACTTGGGGGGCACCTTTTCTGTTTTCCTAGTTTTGAAACTTCAACTGCTTATGGATTGCCACAATATGATCGGGACAGAACGTCTAAATAGTTCAATGACTCATCAAGAAATGCAACAATCAGGTGTAAATCTCAAGGAAAGATTCAGCTAGATAATTGCACAAAATTTTGCCAGAAAATCCTACAGTTGCCAAGAGAGCTCTCCAAAACACATGCTGCAGACTCAAGTTACATTTGCAGCATCTTTAGAAGCATGTTTTTTTCCAATGGCAGAATCAGCTGCCATAAGAGTTGCAAGTGTAGTACATTTCCCATTCTTGGCATGTTTCCCTTCCTTTTGCATCCTTGCCATCTTTACTGCCTTTTGCATCCTTGCCATCGTCCCTATCCTTTGCAGAAGCTTCATACGAGGTGGAGGGCTTCATTTCAGCTTCAAGATGAATCATCATTGGAAGGTACGCAGGAGTTTCCAGGCTTTTCACCCGGAATTACCACGATAGAATATTGTTTATCAATATCTTTCCCACCTCTCTTCTTTTCAACATTCGGCACCCCTCAACGAATGAGCTCCGCATTGTCTTGCCGGTAATTTTGGTCTGCTTCTCTATGGAATGTCTCTTGACTGGCTATGTGCAACTAAAGAAGAACACATTCATTTTACAATCGTAAAAGGTGGAAGGAACATGGAGAGTGTGTGCGTCTGTCAAAAGAGAGCTGGGATGTGGCATGGAAATGTGGCTTCCTAGAAAAATTTTACCTTCTCCCATTCTCTGTTCTGAGCTTTGTTAGATTCACAGTGTTGCTGCTTTTTCTCACACAAAGCTTGTTGATTCCTTCAGCATCATTGATAGTCTGATTTCTCATCTCCTTCTCTGTTTTCTCATTTTCTTCTAAATGCATCACATTTTGCCTGCAGAAAAGTGGATGTGAAATGTTTTATCCACATATGAACTTTGTGCAAAAAGTTTTTCCACAACCATCAGTTTTGATGCCTTGATTGCACTTCAAATTTATCACCTTACAATCATGCAAAGCAAATATTATTCATGAACACTAGGATATTTCACAAGGTTGATGCAGGCTTCCCCTATGTTCAATTCCATTAGAAATGCCCACAAAAATTAGACAGAAACACCAAGCATGAGAAACAGGATGGTTGTTTTTCTTTTGAACAACAGCCGATATATGATACTGGATCAGGACGGGAAAAATAAAAGAGACAGAGGATTTTGGATTCACTTGAGAAATGGAGGCTAGTCAGTAGCATCGATACATGTTATTCACAAAAAGAAGAAAAAGAGAGGTCACATACTCAAACGTGCATTGTGGTCTTTCTGAGAATGCATATTATAGTTATAAGCAAAATGCAGTTACAGAATTTGGGTGAATAACATACAGCAGCAACATGTAAGTCAAAGAAGTCTGGGTTTACTTTGTAATTTTAAAGCAATAAATTTTATTGTGTTATTTTTGGAATTGATCAAAAGGATCAATGTCTTCCAACCATGAACAATCTCACATTCTTCATTTCATAAAAACTTTATGACCAAGAAATTTCCACTATGGTACTACCTATGCTCCTCCTTCAATAATTATTAAACATCTCCAAACTTACCTAGGTCGGCCTCAAACAGTAGTTCTAGGTTCACACTAATATCTCCTTCTTCCGTCAGGTTCTCACTATTCATACAGTTTAATTCCATGTTTAAACCACATTCTATAATGAGAGGATTGAATTTAGAAACACCAAGGTATCATCATCATATAATTACAGCATATCAACACTTTTCAGCTCCAAGCATAATTATACATGCAATTTGCTAAAGTGACCAAACTGGTGATCCCATATTTCTTCACAGACAAATGACCTAAACACCTAAAGCCAATCAAAATTAGGTTAAAAAAAAAAAAAAAAAAAAACTCTTTCAAATAAATGATTCCAAATTTATAATACCAAGCATCAAGATCTAAAGGTCTGTTCTGGAAAACATATATGTCCAACTTGGAAAACAACATATATATCCAAGTTCTAGCAACAAAACAAAAGATCCAAAAACCAAGAGATAAGACACAAACAAAACAAAAATTAGCAGCATTGCTCCCATATTTAGTTCTTTTCATTTGCATAAGTGGGGGTAGCATCCGCCTGCATGCAGACATGCACCATGACAGATAATCTTGAAATGAAGAAGTGATTCAATAATAATCTACAAAAATTTCTTGTTTGGTTGAAGCAGAGGAGTTTAATTAAAATTATGAAACTTTAAATAAGTTCTTTCATCAATTGTGAGAAAGCTTGAATAGCTTTAATCAATTAAATCTATTAAACCAGATATTGACATACAAAAATCCAAATGTATTGATGTATAACCCACAAGAACCAGATGCTAGTCCCAAACAACTAACAACCACAAAAACGAAAAGCAAGTGATTGGTGGCTTAGTCCAGACTTCAACAAGACTAATAATAACTTATATGAAACAATTATGTCACCTTTTCCCCTTGATGAACTTCACAAAAGCCAAGTAACTTTTTGAGAACAAGATCATCATCTACCACCAAGGATGTGGTGTCCACATCTGCAGAGAATCCTTTGCTTGTCATCTCACTAATAAGTTGCACTGCCCTTGGATCCTTGTGCTGGAGAAGTCCTCGGATAAAAACATTATAAGAATGATGATTTGGTGGACAGCCTTCCTCTTCCATTTGTCTGAAAGCTTTGTATGCTTCATCTAGCAATCCTTCTCTGCAAAGTCCATTGATTATTGAAGTCCAAACCCGAACATCAGGCTGCAGGCCTTTGATATACAGTTCTCAAAACATCTCCCTTGCATCCTTAAGATTCCCAGATTTGCACATGGCATCGATTAAGATATTATAGATTCCCAAATTAGGCTTCAAGTAACTATTTTGCATTTCTCGAAATAGTTCCATAGCCTGATCAAGATACCCTTGTTTGCTTAAGCCATCAAGCAAAACTGAATAAGTTATTAAATTTGGAGAGTGGCCCTCAGCATGCATATCCTTGAAAAGCTTTTTTGCTTCCAAAATTCTCCCTGCAAGAAACAAGCCCCTCATAAGGGTGTTGTAACTAACAATGTTTGGAGCTACGCCTTGATTAATCATTTCCACAAAAAGCTGCTTCACATCATCTATCCTCTTGGTCTTACAGTATCCATTGATTAGAATGTTATAACTAACAACATCAGGGGAAAAACCCTTGCTTATCATCACATCCAATACTTTTCTCGCTTCAACAACTTCCCTCTGCAAACAGTATCCATCCATCAATGAATTATAACTAAAAATATTAGGCTCCACACCTCTTTCTATCGTTTCCTTGAATATACTTTGAGCCTCTGAAACCTTTCCTTCTTTACATAGGGTATCAATCAACATGCTGAAAGTAACTATATCAGGCATGATATTTAGACCCATCATTTCATTTAACAATGCGTAAGCCTCCTTCCACTGGCCTGAATTGCACAAGCCATGCATTAAGGAGGTGTAGGTGATAACATCCGGCCCGATGCCTTTACCCTTCATCTCAGAGAAGATATCTAAAGCCTCATTGACTAGTCTATCCTTGCATAGACTATCAATAATTGTATTGTATGTCACAACATCCGGCTCACAACTTGCCTTAACCATTTTCTTGAGCAATCCAGCAGCCACAGTGGTTTCTCCAATCTTACACAAACCTTTTACAATCGTGTTATAAGTATGTAGATTAGGTTGATATCCTCCTTCCAGCATCTCGTTAAAAAATTCCACAGCTTGAGAAATTTTACCCTCTTCACAAAGCCCATTAATTAAGGTAGAAAATGAGACAATACTGGGTTGAAAACCAAGTTTAAAGATTTTGGCTAAGATAGAGAAGCCATAATCAACACGATGTAAGTGGCAGAAGCAATTAATCAAGATGTTAAAATTACAAACATCATGAGAGAGTCCTGCAAATTCCATTTGTTTGGACAAAGAAACCACAGTCTCATAATGTCTCATTCTGACAATTGCAGACAATAATTTACCGAATTTGACAATAGAAGGCCGAGGATGCAAATGAAGCATGTGGTTAAAGGCAGACAGAGCATCATTAATATTGCTAAATGAACAAGAACTACTCTGTTTGTTTGTGTCATGTCTGTAACTACTAGTTCTGCTGGAAGTATGAAGACAGCAGCAAATGGGGTTGTCGTTGTCGTTGTAGAAAAATAAGGAGAGTTTAAGAATCATACCCATATTTTTTATTTGGCTTCGTTCAAAATGAAACCCAAGAAAGGCTGAAGAAGCTGGAGATGAAGAAGAAGAAGTAGCGAGCAAAATGGTCAGCCGTTTCATTGCCATCAACTCTAAAGTTTCTCCTCTCGTTCAATGCCTCTTATCTCTCTTCAAGAATCTCGACAAATACTACAAGAAGCTCTCTTTGTGTCTTGTTTTTTCCTCTTTGTGGTCTGGCTGTCTGATTTTTGATAAAATTGACCGAAACGTTTCAACTTGAAGAGTTTCATTCTCTCCCTATTTGGACGAGAAAGTTATAAATTAGTCCGTCTAGGTTTTCAATAGAAATTAAATAGTCCTTCTAATTTCAATAACTGATTAATTATCTCCACATCAACTTCACACTCTCTATCCCTGCATCGGGGTGGAGGATAATACTGAAGATGATCATTCTTACAAGGATCTTTTTGCTTGACATCAGCTCCTGTGGTTTTTGAGAATGACATGCCTGAAGCAAAAATTTCATTCCTTATTCCTTTTATTGTATTATGATTGAGAAAATAAATTTAATTTAAGATCTATTAGGGGAGTTTTTTTTTTTTAATGATGAATATAATTATGGTGCATTCGTGTGTGCCTTATCATAGATATATTTGTACATGATTTTACATGTGCATATATGTTTAATCATGTATTATTGGTATGCATCTTGTTAAATTTTGTATGCATATGTAGATCTATAAATATTAACTTAAAGAAAGAGACTTAAAAGATGCAACCACCAAAAGAATAGTTAAGAAGCTCATCTTCATAGAGACGTTTTTCATAATTTTTCAGTTGAAATTGACAACAAAATGTTTTTTTGCATAAAATAAACTTTTTTTTATTTATATTTATAGGAAATAAAGTAACTATTTATAGATAATCATTAAAATATCTTTTGACATGATTACTTTGGATTTCTTAAGATTTTTAGTTTTTTTTTTTTTAAGTAACTTTGGATTTCTTGAGATTTTCAACTTTTTTTTTTTTTTTTGTCTTTAGAAAGTTCATAATGAGACTTTAACGCCATGGCATGCATTTTTTTGTTGTTTTCTTCTTGGTTCTTCTTCTCAAGGCATGTCAATTGAGACTAAGTCCTTTACTTAGACTATCTTAAGAATACAATCTTTACATCCACTTAGTGCATTCATAAAAAATTAAAAAAAAACTTAGTTACAAGAATTCGCGTTAAGTGAGTTAGTTACACAATTAAAAAAGATAACGAATCATCCTGGTGTTCATCGCACTAAGGTTACCTTATATTTTTATACTATGAGAATTTATTCACGCAAATCTATTTTATATCTACTTGTCTATTCTGATTTATGAATTTGATTATTTAAATATTTTCTAATCAATTTTAAATAAGATGATTTTAAAATTGAAAAAAGACTTGATTTTTCACATAAATTGTCATTAGACCATTGGAATCCGTTGAGGAAAGTAAAAGTCGAGCAACAACCTCTAGAATTCGACAAAACTAGTCTAATACCTGCGCTATGCTCGTGGTTAAACAATCGTTACATGCGTAAAATTAGCGATTCATATGATGTAGTGTGAGTAAAAGTTTTATTTTAGTAATTAATGTAAATCGAATCTATATATTAAGCAAAATCGTTTGATTTATATATATTTATTAACAAAATATTTAATAATATTAGCATAAAAATTTTTATTTGAATAATTTGGAAGTTCTTTCAAAACATTATCTAACATATTTTTTTTTATAAAAAAATAGAATATGAAAAAATAAATAACAAATAATTGATATTATGTGTACATATATATATTTAATTTTTAACAAAACTAATGATGCGTGTGCATGCACGCACGCACGCATACATACATACATACATACACACACACACACACACACACACACACATATATATATATATATAAAAATCACCTAAATTGTATGAAATATATTTAAGTCAACAGATTAAAATAAAAACAACAACAAAATTGGTTCTAATGAATTCTAAATAAATATATATAAAAAAGCAAATAAAACTTATGAATTCTTTTAACTAATTATTAATATTTTTTAAAAAAATTGAGTCCGACTATCTAAAACATACTTTTAGCTCTCTCTATCTATCTTAAAATTTATAAATTATGATAATATATTCTAAAAAAATAAAACACTCATTTAAAAAGCAAAATAAGAATTTATTGTATAAATTATAATAATATATTTTTAAAAAATAAAACACTAATTTTCTAAATTTTTATTCCAAATTTATATATTAAGAAACGAAATTTGTTAATAAATAAAATTATATCAAAAAATTAATTTGATGAGAGTTTTAATAAGAAATAAATAATTAAAAAAATAAATTTTAAACAATAAAAATATATAGTCAAATATATATGTTCAAATTAAAATTTTTAAAACATATATCATATATATTCTATCATCTTTAAATTATAGGTAAATAACAATTTATTTTATATGTATATATATTTTTCTTCGATAGTAGTTAGACCAACGATTTTACATAAAATAAAAAAATAATTTATTAAATCCAAATCCAATGATATGATAATTACCGTTGAGGGGAGGTGAAATCGAAGTTTTAAATCTCTTCTGCATCAAACTGAGGAAGATTTGTCTCTTCTCATTGATTGATCAATGCAAACAGTATAAATGTGCCCTTACAGGATAATATTGACCTTAAGATCCATTCATCTTTTGCTAGATTTCTCGAAAATCTAGAAGAATTGTTTTTTACAGTATTTTTATCATCCACATACTCGTTTGGTAATTAAAATGGTAGCATTATACTTTGCAAAAAGCATGTCTGCTCATGAAATTAATGCTTCAAAAAGGCACGACCTGGTTGACGAAAGTCAATATTCCACAGTTGTTATTGAACCCAAAATTATATATATATATATAAAGCCTGCGAGCCAGGGCAGCTCGGGCCCAGCTTGGGCCTGTATGCCAGGCCTGGGTTGCGGCTTAAACACCCCACCCCCCCAAAAAAAAAAAACATTGCAACTTTTACCGAATTCAAGGTTATCGAAATCTTTGTTGAAAAATCAATAATCAAATTTCAGATCTTTAGAAATTAAATTCCGGCATCATTTTTTTCCCAAACATCTCTAGATGACCGAAATAAAGCTAATAAGCATACCTAAACCCTTAAAAATCATTTTAATATACACCAAAACAAAGCAAAATACACAATCAAATCCAAAATTTTTTTTCCTTTTTTGGCTTTGATCATCTTTTCTAATTTATTAATGGCTTGAAACTACCATTAATAAACTCATCTTCCAAATATAAAAAAATCTAGTGAATTTTCGTCGGCCAAAGTTGTTGAAATAAGCTTTGCCGACGATCTCTCTCTCTCCTCCCATCTCTCTCTTCCTCCCTTCCTCTCTCTACACTCGGGGATCGAAACGGATGAGCAAATGAAGATGTGGATCAAAATATTCGTTAAAAAATATCGGGGACCTAAGTATAAAAAAGAGCATAATTTTCACCCACCATAGTGCATTGTGTCTAGTGCTACGAGTACATTAACGGCGAAACATTCACTTCTTTTAGTTATATAGAATGCTTTGAACACAAACCCTCAAAATCCTCAAAACCCAAGCCCAATTTATGATTTCGAAAGTAAAAAACCAAGCTGTAATTCTTTATGATAAACCTATTCACATGCTTTTTGAGTAAAAAATTTTTTTTAAAAAAAAGCAATTAAAAAACTTAATGTTTTTTCTCATTTTGTTTCAAGGTTGATTATAATTCATAGCTTACTTTCAAAAAGTGACAGTAAAAAGTTGAACAATAATTGATCATTCTAGTCCAATTATATTGAAATTATAGAAATAAGCAACTTAGTTCTCTATAATGTCCAATAACTTGTTGCCTTTATTTTGCCAAAAAAAAAAAAAAAACCTTTATAACAAGCAATAAAGACCTAGACTTATAGAATAGTTATTCCACAAAGAAATTCTAAATTAGGAACCAAATGCCTATATAAAAAAAGTTTAAATAAAATTATGAATTTATAGCTTATTTGGCATCTTATTTTTTAGCTTTTAGCTAATTTTCTCAAAGCAAAAAAGTTGAAAGCATCAAATAGGTGTTTGGTAATAAATTTTGTATTTCATTGCCTAGCTTGGCCACGAATTTTAATTATATTAATTTAAATAGATTAATTAGATATGATTAATCTTGAACCAAAATAATTTAGACTTAAATCAAACACATACCATTTTATCCTCTTAAATAAAATAATTTATTTTAGGCCTAATCCTAACCCAAAATTCGCTTGCTGACATCATATTCTCCAAATTCCTAATTTCTTACTCTCACTCTCTCTTATCGAAAATGATCCCAGCTTTTGCAATTGAAAAGAACTAAATATGGGAGAGGTGCTGCTGATTTTTGTTTTGTTTGTTTCTCTTTTTTCTCGGTTTTTGGATCTTTTGTTCTGTTCCTAGAATTGGGATATATATATATATGTTTTCCAGAACATAACTTTAGATCTTGATGTCTGCTGTTGTAAATTTGGAATCCAAATGATGCGGTTGAAATGCAAACTAATTGTTTAATGGAAATTAACTCATTTTGGCTTTTGATTTCTATTCTCGTTCGTTATTCACAAGTTGAAGCTTAATTTTTTAAATAAAATCTTTTTGAAAGTTATGTCATTGTTGATGGCGAATAATTTTTCACAAACATATATAAAAAGTAAGCTTCTAAAAACATCAAGACTTTATTTTCCCCAGCCTCGTAAGTCTATCAAAGTCGAGTGGATGGTCAATTGAGCCCACACGTAGTCTATCAACGTATTTCATGCTTCTCCTTTTTTCCTCATTTTCTACAGGCTCCTAAGTCTATCAAGGTCTTTTTCTCCATTTTCCAACCAATAATCTGTTATCGTGCTCATTGGGGTTAAATTTTCTAATTAGCAGATTGATGCCCACAGACTGTGACAACTGCCTTTTTAGGTCTTGTGTACAACTTGCTGGCTTTTGCTCACTTTTGTATAAGTCTTTTACATGCATGAATCATGATCTACATTAAATCTCAAGACCTATCACTGCCATTCAAAAAAGCAAACAATTCAAAGTGGTCAGGCCATGACTTGTAATAAAGCTCAAGGCTAAAGGATAGACTTTGAAGAAAACAAACACAGACCAAACAATTCCAATGCTTGATCTACATTAAATCTCAAGACCTATCACTGCCATTCTTCAATTTCCTGTCAAAATCGCACCTTATCCACAAACGAAGCAATACGGTGGAAATTAGGCCAGATTCCTTTAGATGGAATGCACAAAAGCACCTTTAACTCCTATTATATGGCTCTCTATTTTCCCAGCTCAAAATGTTATGTATGCCCCAAGTACGTTATACATACCATGAAATCGGCACCTTCTTTGTAAGATCATCATTTGCCTTTAGTGCCAGTGCCACAGCGGTAGCCAAGATTTTGACTGCCAATAAGGTTAGCACCATAAAGTTGAGACATGCCTAAAACTGGCATACCCGCTTAATTATGCATATTTTGCTCAATACTGCAGGAGATTGCCTGGTGCCATATGTTTCGGAGAACAATCGACGTGTGGATTGACTTGCTAACCATATCCACCTCTAATATTGGGTTGTCTTGAGATTTTATTAAAAGACTTGGCTGGAGTTTCTTTTCCTAGAAATTGTCTTGCGCATGAGGATGCTTCCGGTCTTCCCTTGAATCTGAAAAAAAAAAAAAAAAAAAAAAAAAAAAAAAAAACCACGAACTTGTCTAATTGGAAGCGTTTTAACTATTTGATTTGCTGGCTGCTGGTGTTCCTTGCCTCAAAGCTTCAACTGAACTCCTAAAGGTCCACATGACCAATTCTGAATATGTCCTAATTTTACCATGATCCATACTTGTTCCAGAGTAATGAATGTTTTCAAAACAAATATTCCTAATGAGCTTAGCTCCTCGGGGGCTTTGTTACAGTGCTTGTGTAGAGATTTTCTAAATAATCATGAAACGTTGCCAAACACTGTACTTCTTTATAAGACTCGTTTAGAATTTCAGTGGTTAAGATAACTCTGTGTGTGTGGGTGTGCTTTACTCTGTGCATGTGAAAGTAATATATTTTACGCTTGTGTTTCAATGGTATTTTGACGAAGGTACGGTGCTTAAAGTTTTTGGTAAGAAAAAAAATGGTGATGTTATAATCAATTTGTACTTTAATGCACAGTCCATCTCGGTAAAGCTAAAGAGTTTAGCTTTGAATGCTAATGTCCATGCAGTTCTGTGCTTTACATCCTATGGAGATGCAGATCAGTGGTTTGCTAAGTGTTTTGACATAATTCATAGCACAAATTATAAGCACCTTAATCTTGGCAAAGCTAAAAGCCTAGATGATACGGGGTTAGTTGAATCTCTTTGTCTATGGCTCGCTGCTTTTTCTGTCTCAGTCCGTCATAGCAGAACTTTCTTGGTCGTAAAGCATGTTATTTGCGTTTTGTGTAACTATCTAGCTTTTTTATAATTACCAAATAATAAAGTTACAGAGGAAGTTGGAGCAAAAGCAAAGAAAGAAGTAAAGGAGAATTCGAGAAGGAGTGAAAAGCGGAGGTGGAGAAAGAGTGAGAATGGTTTCTCAAGTAACCATTACCAAATATTAATTTTGAGGGTCCATTAGCACTCTTTCATTCTAATCTAGCAGCTTTAGATCTATCCAATAATAACCTCTCTGGATCCATCTCTTCTATATGTGAGATTCCTTGACCTTTTAAACAACCGTTTATCTGGAGGCTTCCTGATTGTTTCTTGCACTTGCAACGATTGTTTTGAATCTAGGCAACAAAAAATTGTCAGCTGAAATTCCAAGCTCGATAGGATCATTATTGTTGCTTCAAACTTTGAGTTTAAGTAAAAAACAACTTTTTGAGAGACTTGTCAGCTTCTTTTAAGGAGTTGTAGCTCGTTGATGTTTCTTGACTTGAGTGAGAGTAGATTATATTCAGAAATACCAGCATGGACAGGCGAAAGCCTATTATGAAGGTCATTAAAAGAACATAATGATTGTTGAAGAAACAAAATACAAAACAGAGAATTAATGCATTACAAACAAAATTACAAAATTATTCAAAGGAACATACTGACTTTGTATGTAATATAATATATAGAAGCTCTTCTACAACATTCTCAGCCACTCAACAGATCTTGCAATGTTATTGTGGAGAATGGCTGCTGCAATGGAGGCCATCGAACTATGAGCAGTGAAGCAACTTTTCTCATTGTTGGCCTAAATTTGGGATCAGCAACCAAGCATGCACATGCTATTTTGGTTATGTAGACTACACCATCTGCAACTTGATTTTTAGGAAGTGGGATCCTTTGGTCTATGATGTCCTTCAACAATGTATGCTGGTGTATTTCGAGGATGATGATGAGGGAAATTCGGATGATGAAAGAGATGAGATGAGATCACATGGATGCCTTCCCATAATTACTTCCATTGTTACTACTCCAAAGTCTGTAGACATCGCATTTTTCGTTCACTTTCATTGTGTAAGCCAGTTCTACAAAAAAAAATTGGTTTTATAATTAAAGCAGCAAATATATAAAGAAAAATTTAATAATTGATGTATCTATATATTAGGAAAGAAATCAAGAAAAGCACACTGGAGCCGTGTATCCAAAGGTGCCGGCAAATGAAGTCCAATTGCTTGAGTCCGGCATCAAGAGCCTTGCTGTGCCGAAATCGAAACACGAGCCTCATATTCTTCATCCAAAAGAACATTATTACTAGAAATGTCTCGATGAATGATTGGAGGAGTGCAATCATGGTGCGGATAGGATAATGCACTTGCCACCCCTTTAACGACATTGAGCCTTTTCATCCAGTCTAACTCCATTGCTTGATCTTCACCATTTAAAATCTTTTTCAAACTTCCCCTTTCTATGAACTCATAAACTAGAAAGGAGTGCTTTCTATGTGAGCAGAAACCATATAACTTCACAATATTTCGATGTCGTATGTCAATTAACACACGAACCTCACTTCTAAAAGCTTTGAAATTGGTGAACTCGCCCTCTTTTGATTGGCGAAGATTCTTCACGAGCAACCACCCGATCCGTCGGCAACACTCGCTTTGTAAACAATTCCATAGCCTCCTTCCCCTATACGGTAATTGGAATCAAAATCTTCGATGGCTCTGGATGATGTTCTCATAGACCATCTTCCCATCATAACTCCATATTGCAAATATGTCTTGACATTGTGCCTCCACTACTTGGGCTTTTCTATTTCTACTTCTTTGGTGGAGAAAGTGAAAACCTCCAACAATGATAAATAATAGAAACGAGACTACCCAATAAGAGTGGTACTATCAAAATGATAATTTTGTTTCTCTTTCGTGCACTATTTTTGAGAAGAGAATTGCAAGGCTTCAGATCGCTAGCATTGCCACATAGGCCTATATTATTCATATACGCCTCAAATGGAGCCTTTTGAAAGGCTTTGATGCTTGGAATAGGACCCGTTAGCTCATTGTAGGATATGTCCACAGCTGTCAAGCTCCTCAAATCTTCCAACGTTGTTGGAATGAAACCATAAAGCATGTTGTGAGAGAGATTCAACATTTCTAGCATTTTCAGTTGACCAAGTTGCCATGGTATCTTGCTTTCTAGCATATTCCAAGCCGAGATCAAGTTGTTGAAGAGAATGTAGGAGGCTTATCTCAAACGGAATTTGTTTTTTGAATTTGTTATGGCTTAGATTCAAGCTGCAATAAATACGAGCACCTTCCAAGTTGTTGTGGAATTGATCCACTTAGATTATTTACTTGCTAAATTAAGGAGTTGAAGTCTGGTTAATCGCTCAATTTCAAAGGGAATGACACCCGAAAGATGGTTGTTGGCCGGAGTAAGGTTGTACAACAACTTCAAATTCCCCAGTTCTTTAGGAATCCTACCCTCGAGTTGATTCGATGATAGGTCAACCAACCGTAGCTTGGTTGCCAATCCAAGATTCGATGGTATCTTACCGGATATATTATTGTTGGAGATTTTTAGGCTTGTCATGTTATGGCACCGGCCCCATTTTGGTGAAACCTCACCGTACAAATTATTGTAGCTCAAATCGATGTAGTTCAAGTACGGGTAAATACCTAAATCTTCGGTTATGTTTCCTGTCGAGTGGTTTCTCCGAAGTGTAACTCTAAATAGACTAGTACGATTACGCAAGCTTTTGGGTATTGGACCGGAGAAATTATTGTCGGATGCTCGTGAAGTTTTCAAGCAAACCTCCTAGGCACAAATCTTCCGGCAAATTGCCGGTGAATTTATTGTTACTCAAGATCACCTCCTTACAAGTGTGTGAGTTTATTCATATTTTGGGGTAAGGAGCCGGACAGGTTGGTTAAAATTAAGATAAAGTATTGATAAGTTTCTCAAGTTTCCGATGGAATTGGGGATTCTTCCGAGTTAAAGCATTTTCCGACAACTCAAGGTCATTAAGAGATTGTAACGACCCAATTTCTTGAGGAATGGAACCGGAGAGTTTATTACCCCAAAGATAGAGAATGGATAGGTTTCTCAAGTTTCCAATGGAACCGGGAATTCTACCGGTTAAAACATTGTCCGACAAGTCAAGGCTATTGAGAGACCGTAATGACCCAATTTCTTTAGGAATGGAACCAGAGAGTTTGTTATGGTAAAGGTAGAGAATGGATAGATTTTTCAAGTTTCCAATGGAATTAGGGATTCTACCGATTAAAACATTGCTTGACAAGACAAGTATATTGAGAGACCGTAATGACCCAATCTCTTGAGAAATGGAACCAAAGAGTTTGTTACTTGAAAGATTGAGAATAGATAGGTTTCTCAAATTTTCAATAGAAGAAGGGATCAAACCAGTGAGAGTATTTACACATAGGTATAGAAAGTTGAGATTAGTCAACAAACCTATGTCAAATGGAATACTTCCCGTGAGATCATTTCTACATAAGTTCAACTCTCTAATTTTGGATAGGTTACTAATGCGTGGTGGAATGGTTCCATAAAGTGAATTGTTCCAAAGATTGAGAGTGAAAAGATTGGAGAAGGATGAGAAGTTGAAACCATGAAGCGTACCTCTCAAACCAAATTGTGGAAAGCTCAAATTGGTGATGCTTCCAGAATTGTCACAAGTGATCCCAATCCAATTGATGCAAGGACTGCTGCCGACCCAAGAAGACAAGAGAGATTGGCTTTGGTTGTCAAGACTTGCTTTCCACTTGAGAAGAGCCTCAGCTTCTTGATTATTGCTAGCTTGAGTAACTTTGTATTTGGCAGCAGTAGTACCAAATACCGAAGTTGCAGAGAAAGTATAAGCAAAAGCAAAGAGAGAAGAAAAGGAGAAAAGGAGAAGGAGAAACATTGAGAATGGTTTGTGTGGTAAGGACGTGATATCCATTTGAAAGGGATGTGTATGGTTTGGTAAATGTGGAGGATGAAGATCCTAGCTAGGCAATAAGTCGAGGTATTTATAGGATAGGATGGAAAACATTATAATCTTTTCCTTTCCTCAATTACAAATGTTATGAGACTCTGCAAGGCAAAATGGTTAGGATGGGACAATATAGAGGTCTCTCAACTTCGGATTCTAATTTTGGACAAAGCAATTCCTAAACACTCTGTTTTTATACTAAAATTAAATATTCTTTTAATATAAATTAATTGAAAATCCTTTTTCTCATTTGATGTTTTTTAA